ACAGCCTGGGCAGTTCCTATCCACACCCAGGGGAGCCTGCACACAGCTTGGGAAGGTACAGTCCAGAATTTCTCAGAAATGGAAGCTTTGCTCCTATTCTCTGGCATTTTGTGGGGTACTTGTCGGGGCTTGCACTGCAGGCATGAGCCCTGAGTCAGCTGTAAGCGCATACAGTGGCATGGCTTTCCCTCTGCTCTGTCCTGTGTTTTGTGAACAAGGAAGGGGTGGCTCATGGAATGGGAGGACAAACTTCCCAATTCAGGTGTCCTGATCATCTGACCACCTTGCTGACTTTGACAGGCTTCCAGCTGAGTGTGGCTTTGTGTAAGCTATGACCTGTGCTTCTGCTGGAGCTATAATTATCTTGGTCCTATTTCTGGTGATGTTTAAAGTTCAGACAGCAGCAGTGACGTTCTGAGGATGCTGCTGCTCCAGTTGTCCCCAAAACTGTTCATGCTGTCCTGCCTCCTTTCTCCTGGTGTGACTCCTGACACCTGTGTCCCCAGGAGCCTCATCCTATGTCCTCGGGGTGTCTTCTGGGATGGAGCAGGGGTTTGTAGAGTGACCACATCAGTCTCCATGCCTGCGGTCTTGTCAACCTGCCAAGAAGAGATGGCTAGGATTTTTGCATCTGGGTTATTCTTCTTCTTAACTGGCTGAACTTCTCTTAAATGAAAGTATGGGTCAGAAACTGGGGACACAGCACAGTTGCATCCTTGTAACACACACACACACACACACACATCTACGTATATGTGTGTGTGTGGGTTCTAGTTTCATAAAGAAAATGGCTCCTCCGGTCTACTGTTTGATTTGCATTATCTGCTGTTTCAGGCCTTGTTAATGTGACAGAACTGGGAGCCCAGGCTGTCATCTACGAACTGGCTTCTGTTGCCTACATGGTAAGAACATGAGTGACACTTTGCACCTTCTTTTGTACGAATCCTATGGGCCATTGTCCTTGCATTTAACAGAGGTGGGGAGGAGGGCGGGAGGGAGAGTTGGGTTCTGACCACATTGTTTTCCATTGTGTGGCACGGGCTCCTTACCCAACTCTTCTGTGTTTCAATTTGTTTGGCATACGAATGGGAGGGAAATGTAGCCACGTAGCTCTACACCGCAAGGGAAAACTGGATGAGACCCTGTGTGTCACACAGCAGGGCGCCTGACAAAGTCAGTTAACCAGTGTGCAGTTAGTGTTGGGACTTGTTTGTGTGAGGGATCAACTCCTGTCCTCCGAGGGCCTGTGGCTGGCTCAGGAGACAGCGGTTAAGGAACATGTGAGTGTCTCAGAGTCTCACCTGAGTATGACAGGTTAGTAAAAAGCAAAACAGGCTCTGAGCTGTGTCAAAGCAGAGGTGGGCACCCTTCAAGCAGGGTCATAGGGAGTGTTTCTCTGCTCCCTAGTTTAAACTGAGCTTCATAGGATGAGAGCAGCTAGCCCGAGAGCCCAGGGTTGCCAGGCGACTGTAGAACCTGGATGGTGCTCTGTGTTGGGAGCTACTTGGTGCTGCTGGGGACTTGTTAAGAGAAAGGGTGGCAGGAGGATGGAGCAGAAGACAGCCCCATTTGCACCCAGGGAACAGAGGTGTGTGGGCCTGGGAAGGCAGGAGAAGGCTGCTGGAGTCACTCAGGTGAGGAGCTCAAGGCTGCCAAGGAAGACAGAAGTAGAAGGGCAGGGTGTGTGGGGAGGCAGGAGTGTGGCTGGAGAATGCACAATGAGAAACCGAACGATACAGGCAAGCTGGCGTGGACATCTGCCGGGTGGTGCCTGGTATCCTTTGATGCTTTTCAAATGTCCTAGCCCCATGCTGTCACAAGATACTCTGGCTGTCTCTTGTTTTCATAAAGATCACATAGGCCATCCGGGCAAAGGGTTTATGAGCCATTTTGCATACATTTAAAAAAAATCGTAAAGGTGAGGGCAGGAGTGTAGTGTAGTTGAAAATACTTACCATACCAGAAGCTCTGGACTCAATTGCCAGCATCAGACAGTGAGTATCGGGCACACACCTGTAATCTCACACTCAGGAGGTAGAAGCAGGGAGATACGGAGTTCAATGTCATCTTCAGTTACAGAGTGTGAGGTCAGTGTGGGCTACACAAGACCTCATCTCAACAAGTAAATAAATATAAAAATGAAAAAAAAAGAGGAGTTGGTTCGTCATCTTGGAATACAAAAGAAGACTGTTGAAGAGCAGACCTGGTGTACAGAAGGTAGGAATAGAGGAAATCTCAACCACAAGCCAGGAGGAAGCAAGCACAGAAGGAAGGCGGCCAAGAGGCATGTGCAGAGGGAGCCAGTAATGGAGGCGGCGGTAGTGGTGGTGCTGAGGCAGGTCCCTCTGGAATGGCTGTAGGAAGGGAAGAGGAGAGGCAGCTAAGGGGACAAGCTGCCTGAAGTTCGGGGGCGGTAGGTATGTGGGAAAAGGAGGATGGAGCTGTATGGCAAACAGTAGCAGCCTGCTAATCATCTGTCATGTTTAGGTTTCTGTTTTCCCACCTGTTATGTCACAGACTCCCAGTTTTTTGTTATTGTTATTATTTATTGTTGTTGCTTTTCTTATTTTGAAGTAGGGTGTTGCCATGTTCCTGGGCTGTCTTGAATTCTTGAACTTAAGTGATCCTCCTGCCTCAGCATCCTGAGTATCTGGGACTACAGGCATGTGTCATTGTGTGATTTTTACTTTTCATGTGGTAAACATAGCTAACATGAACTCCCCTCCTTTGCCACTTACAATTTGCAGTTTATTAACATTGGTGACACTCAACATTACACAGCCGTTCCCAGAACTTGTCATCTCGTCAAAGGAAGTCTGTATCCATCACACCCTCCCATCTCCCAGCCCATCTCTGGCTCCTGTGGCCATTACCCATGACCTGTTTCTGTCATACACACACACACACACATACACACACACACACACACACACTCACACACACACACACACACACACACACACTCACACACACACACACACACGCACAGACATGGAGACTCAGTAATTCTTTATGGTTCTTACAGTAAACAAGACCTCCAGGTGGTTTTGTTATGATGGTAATAATATGCTTTTTATAAATATGTGTAGATCCAAGTTGACAATTCCCAGTAATGACCCAAGTTTCCCTTGGGGATGGTGGCACAACCCATAACGTCAGGCATGTGCCATGCACTTGTAAACCCCTGGGCAGGTCGGTAGGGACAGGAAGATCTCTGGTGCCCCAGGCTAGCCAATCTAGCTTAAATGGTGAGCCCCAGGTCCCAGTGACCCCTCATGTGGGCAGTATATGAGGGATAGCTTCTGAGGCTGACTCTGGCTTCCACCCATGTGTGTGCACATAAAATCCACCCAGTCCCACTAAATGAATAATTGTTGGTTGGTTTTTACTCTTTGAGTGTCTTCTGTGGGTAATTGATCGTTGTTTTATTCTTCGGGGGTCCAGCTCCCAAACAAATCACATGGAATCTTATTATTTCTTATGAATGCACAGCCTTAGCTTGGCTTGTTGCTAGCCAACTTTTCTTAACTTAAATTATTCCATTTGCCCTTTGCCTCTATTTTTCTATTTTTTGTATATATTTTCTTTCCTTCTTATCCTGTGTCTGGCTGGGTGGCTGGATGGCTGATCCTTTCCTCCAAGATTTCTCCTCCTATTTATTTTCTCTGCCTGCCAGTTCCTCCTATCCTTTCTCCTGCGTAGCTATTGGCTATTTAGCTCTTTATTAGACCAGGTGTTTTAGACAGGCAACATAACAAAACTTCACTGTAATAATGAGGCCGCTTGTTGGTTCCCGGCTGCTCTCCACTTGTTTGTCCCGGCCACCCAGAACCGAAATAATCACACAGAAACTGTATTAATTAAACTACTGCTTGGTCCATTAGCTCTAGCTTCTTATTGGATAACTCTTACATATTAATTTAACCCATTGATATTATATGTGTATCGCCACGTGGCTGTGGCTTACTGGATAAAATTCCCAGCATCTGTCTCTGGTGGCTCCATGATATCTCTCTGACTCTGCCTTCCTCCTTCCAGCATACAGCCTAGTTTTCCCTGCCTAGTCCTGCTCTTCCCTGCCATAGGCTCAAAGCAGTTCTTTATTCATTAACCAATAAAAGCAACACAGAGACAGAAGGACCTCCCATACCACTTCACAGAATTGAAAAAATGCAATATAGAAGAATGCAACACATCTTTGCACCATTAAACATGTGTTCCACGGCATAAACGGATGTAACACATCTTAAAAAATATTCCACAACAAATAATGTCTTTGTCACTCTGCTTATCACCTGTCAACTGCTGGTTTTAGTTTCTGAGAACATTCTTCTCTTTCCACCCCTTGTTCATGATAGTACAGCGTCCTTGGCTATCACTGAGGACACTGAACCAACCCTTTAAATGCTCTTTTTTATTCCCTGAGCCATCTGCTTTGTTTCTGCTGAGATCAGGTGGCCTTTCTTACTGTCATCCCTTTCTGGAGGATACATGCTCAACTTTCCTCAAACCTCTGATGATATATGGGCTGGTCCATGTACTACTTATGGATGGATGAGTACATTGATCTGTAAGACAAAGAACCCTGGGTATGAGGGCTCATGGCTGCGCAATCCCAACACTGTAGAGGCTGAAGCAGAAGGATTGTGAGTCGAGGCCAGCCTAAGTTACATAGGGAGACTTTGTTGGGAGGGAGGGAGGGAGGGAGGGAGGGAGGAAGAAAGGAAGAAAATACATAGAAGCCAAGCATTCCTATCCTATTTGGAGATTTTTTTTCTCTAGTGATCTTCCCGGGAATGACCCCTGGAACGCTCAGTGCAAAGTTGGAAGCTGTCAGTGACATGCTTATTTCGGCCTTGTGAGTGAGATGCAGTTCGGCTTCCTCACACCAGTCCACCCCCCCCTCCCCACACACACACTGCAACAGAGGAAGGGCTGGGAGCTCACTTATGCTTCTCTGTAGCCTGTGTACAGTGGGAGGGAGGCCCACCTATGCCTGGGCAGCATTTCTGGATGCTGTGCCTCCTGCTTCCATTGCCAATTGTAGCCCCCAGACACCGGTGCTGCTGAGAAGGCGGCACAGTCCAGCCTCCTCCCGTGTGTCTTCTGGTCTCTGGTGTGATCGATCTTTCCTTTTTCACTCTTTGGGGGCCCACCACCCAGCTCCCAAAGAAATGCATGAGATTTCTTACTTATGAACGCCTGTTCTTAGCTTGGCTTGTTTCTAGACAACTTTTCTGACTTAAATTAACCTGTTTCTTCTATGTTTTGCCTCTGGGTTTTTGTTTTATTTTGTTTTTTTTTACCTTTTTTATTCGATTTGTCTTTCTTCTCTTATCCTGTGGCAGGTGGGTGGCTGGTCCCTGGCGTCTTTTCTTCCTTTTCTCACTCCTAGCTCATTTCTTTCATATCTGGATTCTGGATTTCTCTTCCTGTTTATTTTCTCTGCCTGGCAGTCCCACCTATCCTTTCTCCTGCCTTGCTATTAGCTATTCAGCTCTTTATTTGACCAATCAGGTGTTTTAGGCAGGCAAAGTAGCACAGCTTCACAGAGTTAAGCAAATGCAACATAAAAGAATGCAACACATCTTTGCATCATTAAACAAATGCTCCACGGCATAAACAAATGTAATACATCTTTAACTAATATTCCACAACACTGTGGTTTCTCATAATCTCTCCCCTAGTGTGGTACTGGTACCTGCTGTCCTGGTCCAAGGCTGGGTACTCTTGCTCAGTGTCAGTGAGGTGTGCAGGTGCACACTCTACTAGTTGTATTTAGGAGGAGGAGGGAGCAGTATGAGCTGGACATTCATCTTTTTTTTTTTTTTAAAAAAATCCAATATATATTTATTAATATTTTCTTCCTTTTAGCCTGAAGCCTATTTTTTTTATTTTTAAA